ATGTAAGGTGGCATGTAGTCTTTACTTTGTCCCGTTGTTTGCGTATATCCTGAAACGCGATGTGTATGGTTTCCTCCTCCCTCAGTGTTACTCCAGTAACAATCTATAGCAAACTTAACGTTGTCTTTAACATCATATCCTTTACCTTTTGTCATTGCTGACCAATCCCAATATCTATGCTTATGCCAACCTGCTTGAGATGTACTTAAATCTATGTAGTGACTGTGTGCAGGTAAATTTTCACCTGAAATCGTTTTACTTCCACCTGTTTCCTTTGAAGAGTTTGCACAATACAAAAACCTGTCGACTATTTGAGTCCAAGTTCCAAAACCCAGAACTGTTTCTGGATTTGTTGAGTTCATTGACGTATAATAGACCTATAGGATATAATGTTTGAAGTATTCTGTCTTTAATGTTTGAAGCTCTGTTTTGTCTGCTTTCTTGTCATAAATCTTGAGCAGTGAATTTAATATTATGTTCATCCTTCATGACATAAACATCTTTACATCTAATGTTTCCATCGTCGTTATGTCGTCATCCGATGTTAAACCTTGTGGAAAGTTAGGAGGTTTACAATATATTGCATCCCCACCAGTTCTCTTCAACCGTTCCTTCAATACTTTCTATAGCAACAGTTGTAAAACTTGTATGTGTATGGTTCTTGTCTGCTTTCTTCTCTAACTCATCGTTAACATAAGTTTTATCTGCTTTAAGGTCTAAACATCCTGAAACCCATCCTGTATCGGCTTTAGTTTTTAAAATCTTTCGATGTCCATTCATGTACCAGTCAACCCTTTCTTTCATTTCGTTATCTTTTTCATCCACATATTCCTTATCTGCTTTCTTCTCTAACACACTAGCCATAAGTCCCTTATCTACCTTATTTTCAAGGCTAACGTTTAAGTCTGTTATTTCAGATATAGAATGTGTATGAGTCTTTTTAGAATATTCGTTTCAGCTCTCGTCACTTCACTTGACATTTTATTGTCAACATATGTTTTGTCTGCTAGTTCAGGATGAGTATGTTCTTTTGTTGCATAAGCATTGTTAGCTCTTTCTTCTTCTTTTGCTATTGCATCGTCTACATATTCTTTGTCAGCTTTGTTGTCAACATCTGCTTTCAAAAGAAGTTCATTTATAGGTTTCTCGTTTAAAGTTCCTTTTGTTGGATTTATACAGACAGTATTGTTCTTATTGTCTTGAAATAGAAACTCATCTGTCATTGGGTTTAATGTCAGTTTTAAGTTTCCTTCTTTCAATGACTCAGATATCTTAGAATAGTTGAAAAGTTTGTTGTGTTCTTATTTAGAGCTTGCATAATGAGTTGTCGGTTGTGTTGTATTTCTCTCATAGACGCAATATCTTTCGACATTTTTATTCTAGATAAAATATGCTTCCAATAGAAAAAGAAAATTCAAGAGTTGCTACAACTAAACCATTAGATGAACTTTTTACTAATGTCGGTCAAAAGTTTGAGACAGAGACCGTAAAGCATGAAGGCTATCGTTTTGACTACCCATTAGATGGCTAAGAGACCCATCTGTCACAAAAGCTATTGGCTTTCGTAGAATGAAGTTTGTGTCTGTAAGATAAAAGTTTTCCATTTATTGTAAGTTTCATATAGATTATATATTCTGAAGGGAAACGAAAAATGTGGGAAGAAATTGAGCTAATACAAGTTGACCTTTCATCTTCTCTACAGACTGCGTTAAAAAATATAGAAGATAAAATAAATTCATGTTATGCAAAATATGCTGATGAATATGCAAATACACGAGAGCACACTTTATGTGAGAATTGTATATGACAAACAAAATTCACAAGTGTCATTTCAAATCTACGAAAACAATCCAAATAAAGAGGAACAAATATATACAGAATTCACTGCAATGTCATGGTATTATTTGCAAAGAATGTTAAATCAGAAAGTCGAACTTCCTTTAGCAAATATTTACAGTCGATATGCAAGAGATGAAACCATATTTATTTAAAGATGTTTTCGACCAGCTGCTATTATTGTTCATGCTTCATTTTCTGGCGCCCAAAACTCTTTCTTATGCTTGGCAAATGATTTTACGAAAAACCTACAAAGTTATACGAACCACAAGTGGAAGTATTTCAGACTTTCAAGTATGGTTTACTACAGATGGAAGAAAAAGAATAATTCCATTATACCATGCGTTTTACTTAGAACTTAGTTTCATATACAACTACTATCGAACGGTAAAAATATAATTTTTTAATACGGTTGAGGTGTTGGATTTGGTTGCCAACTTGACTGTGGTGCAGGTTCAGGCTGTGTTGTATAACAGGAGCTTGTTCTTCTGGTTCAGGGTCTTTAGGTATAATACCAACAAACTGACCTACCCTTTTACCAATATTTTTGACACCGTTCCAAATTCCTCTTCCTACGGTTTTTATTCCATTCCATATACCTCTTCCAACATTTCGAAAGAAGTTTCCTATCTTACTGAAGAAACCCATTTTACTATATGTAAAAATCTAATGTCCGCCTAGTCTCTTACGTTTCCTGTGAGTTCCATAGCATTCTTTAACTGGAGCTCATACATTCTGTTTCTCCTCTGGTAGAAAACATATTCTGGGTCAACTCCTGTGTTCGCGTCATCTGCATAAAGTTGTTTATATCCCACTTCAGGGTTTGTATAAAACTCTTTCCATCTCATATTTGCATACCATGGTGGCAAACCTAACGCAGCGTTATTTGACATGGCAGTTTGCATTTGTACATCTGTTGGCACTTGACCATAGTTTTGCCATTGCAGTTTGTATTCTAACTTCATTTGGAATATTCTCTGGGTTTGGTTGTCCAGGTTGCTGTGCATTCGCTAAGTTCTGTGCGTCCATTTAATATTAGATAAAAATATCTCTTACGAGTACATATACTGAACATTTGCAGGCATTGGTTCATCTTCATATTCTCTGTACTTTTCTGCCACGTCAAATAAATAAATGACACAATGGAAAAAACCTAAAACAAGTAGTCCTTGATTTCAAACCACATTTACTTACTAATAAAATTTCTTTGTTATGACACTTTCTCCAGTTTATAGGACCTCTCTCATATTCTATCTTGTCATATATAAACTCATAGTCATGTATGTCCTCTAACCATCTCATAACGGTTTCCAAACCACTTTTATCGGATGTAAAGTAAAAGCATGGATGGTTATGTACGTCTAAAACGTCTAAAGTTTCTAAAGAGTCTCTCAAAGTCCAGTCTACTTGGTATTGAAAATCCCATGTGTTATAGAACGGCGGGTCCACTATAAAGAAAACATTTTCCTTGTCTTTATATTTTTCATACAAATCTGTCCAATGACATCTCACAAACTCTATACCCTCAATATATTTTTCTATGTCCTCTTTGAAAACATTTGTATAGTTAAGATATAAAACTTTTGACATAAGTGTTTCAATGTCATGAACTCTTATAGAACCACTATATAATAGTCTAGCAGATATAACTATCCCAGTCTATATATTCTGCTTTTTTCAAAAACCTCTCTCACAATATTTTTGTTATCTAATGGTATACGTTCCATCTTACCTATAGGTATCTTTTCTTTTAACTCACTCAATATTTTGTTAGTGTCTGGAATATGTTTGAGACGGTCCATATAGTTGTCGAAGTCATTGCATATAATCTTTGAGTCTGGGAATATTATATGGCACAAATGGATATATAGAAACTTCCACCGAACAAATCTACAAATGTTAGACCATTCGGTAGTTTCTTAAGTTCTCTCAATATAATATCTTTACATCTACTCTTATTTCCAAAGAACGGTAACGGTGGTTTTGTAAATTCATTTATATATAATAATAAGAATGTTTTTCCCTGAAAAGTGACAGAAAAGTGACAAAACATGAAAACATATATAATTTGTGAAAAGCGACACATTATATAATGTTTTCGACCAGAAGAAGGCTTCTTCCCAGAAGCAATGGAGGAAGAAGAAGAGTCCTCCGAATATAAACTTCATTTATACTAAACATCTTCAGGGCTAGAGGGCACGAAGTGCCTGGAGGCCCCACTACCTTTTTTTTTTTTTTTTTTTTTGATAAAATATTCATCTTCACATTATATCATTTAGTTTTATTCAAAGCATAATCTTGAATAAAATCAATTCAAAATCAAAAATTTTTTCAAATTATATTATCCTGAGCTTAGAATTTAAAAAATATGCATTACTCCTCATTAAAATAGAATAATTAGTATATTTCTGACTATACACTGTCAGAAAGACAGTTCTTCATTCTCGAGAAAGTTAGAATAAACAAAAAATGATTAAAAAATTGCGTAGATTTACCTTATTCTCAGCCAAGGTTCAGGCTTTTATATAGCATATATTTAAGGTATTTCATGTCCAATCTTTATTCAGCCTCGTCTCCTAAAGAAAATCATTTGAATCAATCAATATTTGATCAAGATATCAAATAAAATAATCGAGTTTTTCCTTAAAAACCGGATCAATCAATTATTCCATTCTTCATGTAAATATTGTAGCAAAGGTAGAATTCTCATAACTTCATAATGATTCTAAGTTATTCCATAGCTAGCTCTCAAAGATATTGCCATCGCAAAGCAAAATTTCATCAAGAATTTATAGAACGCAGACAGTCAACTCCAGCACTAAAACATTCGAACAAAATTATTGAAGCACAAGAAATAACAAGTTGATACAGATTCTATCATGTTTCCTCAATGAAAACATTAAAAAAAAACATTTTCATTTGGAGATGAAATTTCTTACATAAAAACAGTCTTCTATGTAAATATCAAACAAAACTTCTAATCATATTACAAAACAACAAATAATCATACATATCATGAATATTTTAAAGAAATTGAAAATTTGTTAATGAATCTGAAAACAAATGGTGCAATTCTCTTTCTAAATGTAAAAAATACATAAGGAAAAGAAAATAATAACAGTTTTTACAATATATAAAATATAAAATATAAAATATAAAATAAATTATACTGCAATACCTAATCCATTAAATAGTTCGTCTGTCATCGGAACTTCCTCGTATCCGAAATCTGGCACGCTCAAAGCGTACACGACGAAAACCTGTGCAAAAGAAACGGATTGTTCAGCAATCCATTTGATTGGTATGAAAATGTATCGGGAAGTTTGTGTTTCCGGGTAATGTAGGATTATTGTTTTGACGCATCTCTCGGCATAAAAGAATGCAGAGATTTTGTTGAGAATTATTGAGAAAGCGTACATGAAAACGATTCCTTTCATCTTTGCTCTAAAGTTTGGATTGATCAAATTCCTTATTGATGAAGAGAAAACAAAAATTATTGACAAAATAAAAATTGAAAAGCCGTGAAGTAAGTAATATTCGATGTCATTGAACTTACTTAGGAAGTTGAACACCTGGCTAATGATGTTTTTGGATACATTTTGAGGGATACAATAAATAACCGTGTCAAAAATGAGTTTCAGTGAATTAATGTATAAAAAGACGATGCCGATGTAGTAAAAAAGCTTTGCCAATGGGAATCTGATCTTCTTTAGTGTCTTGAGAAGCTCCATCATGTAAATCGCGTTGCTCAAGTAGTATATGCTAATACCGATGGTATTAAACTTGATGACTAATGTTAAATATCTGAACTCCAAGGTATAATTGAGAATTGCTTTTTTCAGATACAAAATTGTCTGGCGAATCGCAATAACTATGCAGTATTTGACTTCTGGTGGGAATCCTTTCATTGAAAGACCCCATTTCTGTATACTGGAAATACCAATATAAAAAAACACAATCATTGTTAGGAGATAAACAATTAAATTTATGTAGCGTGATGGTTCCTTGCACTGGAAAAGGGTATCTTCGATTTTGCATGGGTCTTGCTTATATGTGAGAACCGTTTCAATAAGGAAATTCTTTGTGATATTACTCATTTGAAAAAAATTTGTGAATTATCGGATTTGACATTTCTGCCAAGGCCTGAAATTCTTTCAATCACAAAAAGTAAAGGTTTTTGAATTTTGGTGATAGATATACCGCATTCATGTGTTCAGTAATTGGTGAATGAAATGCTGGAGAAAGCTGAATCATTTCAAAATTAGTAGTAGGGTATGATGGGTTATGTGACTTTTTTTGTAAACGTAAGAATTCATACAATATTGAACGATTTTGTATCATTATTTTTAACATTAATTTTAAACATAATTTATTTTTTATTCTTACATAAATGACCCAACAAGTAAAACCAGATAAAATGGATTATCGAATTTTAGAGGATGGTGTTCCTGTTTATATTCAAAGATTTAAAGGGAAGCAATATTATAGAATTCTTAATCCTGAATACATAAAACATTTATTTAAAAAGGAAGACTGTGAATTATTAAACGTTAATGAATATGAAACCAATAAATCAAAATTGAAATATAAATATATTGGAAGTGATGAAAGATGCAAAGATAAAGATAAAGTTTATACAGTTTCATATAATGAATGGAAAACCAATAAGATAAGAAAACATTTAGGAGATTATGGGAAATGTTCTGAATTCTTCAAATCTAGTATGTACGAGAGAGTAAAAGAAATTAGAAATAATTATTTTCATGAATGAAAGAAATTAAGAATTCTCACATAATTGAATGGTTTTTGAACATACTTCCGAATAGCAGATTTTAAAAATTTATGAATAATTTATAAAAAGTTTTTATTCCTACAATTCCTATATTACCATTAATAAAAAGAATATATTTTATAATAGTTTCATTTCGAACATGTTAAAATTTATCTGCATTTCGAAAAATTTTATTATAAATGATAATATAATTTATTAAATTAATATATAACTTATGAATTTTTACTTTTTGTATGAAATAAAATTTAGTATTAATAAAGTTATAAAATAAATTGGTGCATGTTAGATGTAAATAAGATATAAAAAGGTGTTTATGAATACTTTAGCAGAACTTCTACTGGTAGAGTTTATACTGGCAGAACTTCTACTGGTAGAGTTTATACTGGCAGAACTTCTACTGGTAGAGTTTATACTGGCAGAACTTCTACTGGCAGAACTTCTACTGTTTCCCTCAAAATTGAATACTTTAGCAGAACTTCTACTGGTAGAGTTTATACTGGCAGAACTTCTACTGGTAGAGTTTATACTGGCAGAACTTCTACTGGCAGAACTTCTACTAGTAAAGTTTCTACTGGTAGAACTTCTACTGGCAGAACTTCTACTGGTTATATATGGTGTCAATTTTTTAAAAATTTTTGAATTCAATGAGTTATATCAAAAATAAAATTCTTGAATAGAGTAAAAAAATTTAAATAATTTATTTAAATATTTTCTTCTGACATTTTTGAATAATTTATTTTTTTAATTCGTAAGAAAATGAGTGGATCAAGATTCGTAACCGTCAATCAATTAATGGATGCTCTTTCACCAATTCTTGAAAATGTTAAACAAGTAGATGTTTATTTCGATGATTATGTAGAAAGTTTATATTATAAAGGTAAACATAATATTAAACCCATTGCTTTTGCATTTGATAATAAATTAATTGAAAATGCAAAAATTTGGGAATTAATTCCAGATATTGAATATATAACGAATATAACTAATAAATGGTTCAAACGAATTCCAACCACAAAAGTTCTTTGTAAATTAATGATCAAAACCGAGGCCAAAGAATTTCATGAATTTACATATCATCCAAATAAAGTTTCAGAACTAGAAAATGAAAAACTTCAGAAAAAATTAAACGATAGACTTTCAAATGATCGTATTGAAAAAATAAATAAACTAGCAGAAGTTGCATTTAATAATGAAATATTTGATGAATATAACCTTGAACTCAGTGATGGGCTTTAAGGACCCGGGCTCAACGAGTCATGATTTATGAAATCAATAATTTGATTTATTCGCTCTTCAATAATTTCTATTCTTTTTGTTAAATCATCTATTTTCATTAATGAGGTGATTCTTGATTGAGGAATAGATTTCAAACTAACCACCCCCTTTATTTTTGAAATTTTGAATCCATCAATTTTAAACATTTTATTCAATTTACATGTTGTCAATTCTTCAAATAATTTTTTATTATTAGCATAATAGTCATTAAATTCTTCAACAGATGAAAAAATTTTTATTTCAGTAATTGGTTTAACAACGTTTATTTTTTGTTGAACATTTTCACTTTCATTTATTTCTTCCTCCTCTGTTTCATTTATTTTTAAAATCGGTTTCATTTATCATTAAATAAAAATTAGAATATAAGTGATGAAATATATTTTTTAATTAATATTAAATCAGAAATGGCGGCAGGATTCTTTAAAAAATTATGGGATGGAATTAAGAAAGCTGCGGGTTGGGTTTATAAAAAGGTTATTAAACCTGTTGCAAACTTTTTGGCACCAGTAGCGAAAACGGCAGGAACTATCATAGGTGGGGTATTAGGTACTAAAGCAGGTAATCCGGCGATGGGAGCACAAGCAGGTAACGCAATTGGTGGAATAGCTGAAGGAATACTTAATAAAATAGGAGGTAGATAGTGGAAAAATAAATAAATATTATTTTTATCTTAGTATCGGTTGTAGTCTTTGATAAATTTTTTCTCCTTTATTTAAAACTTCTCTTATTGGGGCAGCTTTTGGCGTTATTGATTCAGCAACGTCACTAATTGCTTCTTTATTCTTAAATATCCAATTTGCCCCCTTCTTCAATGTTTCCCAAACTTTACTCGCCCCTCTTTTTACTTTATCCCACAGTTTCTTAAATATACCTGCAGCCATAGTTGATTATTTCATTAAAATTAAAAATTCATTTTCATATTTTAATTTTGATTTTTTATTTAATAATAAATGACGACTAACTATTTGGTGCCAAACACCAAACCGATTAATGGAAATGTGTTTCATTCATTCGAAAAGATAAATGAAATATTTGCAAAGAATGACGGTAGAAGATATTATAGAGAACTTGAAAGTTCATGCTATGACTCTGATGCTCCATATTTTGATGATAAACAAACTCATTTAAGAATTACAAACCCAGCTCATGATGTGAACCAATTAGGTGACACATATATTAAACGCAAAGTTAAAGTAACTCTAGTTTCAAATAAAGCTTTCACATGTGATGCCGCTTTTAAATGCATGCGTTTATTCGTTGGTTACAAATCATCAAATCAAAGCTTTAAACAATTAGAAGTAGAAACTGAAAGAGGTGATGCCGGTTATCTTCAGATGGATTGCGCCCGCGAATCTTTCGCATTTGCAACATATAAACCGAAATCAGAAAGGAAAGTTAAAAAGTTTGTTCATTCGTTATATAATAATGTTCAAAATATGATAACTCAGTATGTGGTAAATATATTGACCCTTCAGAAGTTTTCGAGAAAGCAAATGAAGAAGTTGATGTCACTTTTGATATGATTATTCCGGTAAATGATTTGTTAGCATTTCAGGCGTTCGATGATTATCCTAAATCATTTGTGATATCATTCTTAAATATTATGTTTTCAGGGATACTTTAGTATTTTGTCAGGTTGACCCGTTAAGAGTTGCTGATTTACAAAACGTTTATGAAAAGATAACTGATGAAAATTATGAAAAGATTATGAATCATGTTTATAAATATGATCGCAAATTCCAACAAATCGGACTTCCTGCCAAATTAATTACAAGCTTAGCCGCTACATCTGCTGACGCAACAGTTGATAACGTTATTATTTCATGCACAAAGATGGAAGTTTTAGAGGATAAATGCATTACACCAGGATACGGTTTAATTGAAGAATCAGTTAAAGCAATACCACGTTTATTTAGTAAGGAAGATCCATTCATGATTCCAGCTCAACATATTGACGTTCATTCTATTATATTTATGATATGATTAATGAAGCATTGAGTGATAATAGAAATGCTCTATCTAAGGAAAAATTAATGAAAATTCCATATTCTGAATGTTATTTAAATTCAATCACTGCAGCAATTGGTAAACAAAATAAAGGTAAAACATTAACGATATTAAAACAAATTATCATTATTGCTAACACTTCCCCCTATTCACACGTGTTAATTTATATCAACCGTTCAGGTTCACCTTCAGATGATACATTTGAATCTTTAAAGCATTTAATCAAAATTCCAATTATTTATTTATCACAAGAAGAAGCAGAAGATTATTTAAAAAACTTTTTAATGTATAAAGAATTATATAATACAATCAAGAAGCAAGGATTAGAGGATAAAATTATTGATAAACAACGGGATGAATTATTTGAAACACTTTCCATTTCAAATTTTGATAGAGAATTTTTGCATTCACTCATTTTTCTAGATGATGCAGTGAAATCAAAACTAATAACAAATGAGAAATCATATTTTAATCAGTTATTAACTCAATGTCGACACATTCAGTGTTCATTCTTCATGGCTGTTCAATACTTCAAAGCATTAAGCACAAACATTAAATCAAATCTATCAACACTTTTCATTTTCAGTGGTTTAGTCGTCAACAGTTGAACGTTATGCTTTATCAAGTGAATTTACCAATGAGCATTAATGAACTTTACACACAATATCAGCAATTAGGTGAACATGGAAAAATAATAGTTGATTTAAATAAAGGATGTGTTAAATTTGATTAACTTTTTATAATTAATTTTTATTTTTTATTTATAATTAAACATGACAGAAATAGCAAATCTTCTACAGGTTCCATTAAAACAAGGGACAAACAAAAGGGGTGCATATAATAGAACTATGAAAGTTCCTGATGGAATGAAAGAATTAGTCCACATTGTTGCTGGTCTTCAAAAAGATGTTAAACAAATGAGAAATGTTTTAACATTACCAGAAGCTCAAGCATATGCCAAACGTCATGGTCCAAATTGGGAAGCACACGAAGCAGACATTACGGGTCCAAATGGAAAACCTGATGGTATAAATGAAGTTTTCGTTACTGATGGTCAAGGTAATATTAAAGTCATAAATGGTTATAAATTAACTGTATCTGATTATCCTAAACGTAAAGCATATAATGAACGTTATCCTATGCAATTTGATGAAAATGGAAAAGCTGTTAAACAATACATTAGAGAAGGTGAAAATGGTCCAATTAATTCATACCGTCATAATCCATATTCTTATTTCAATGAAGAATTAAATGCTATTGAAGAGGGACCAAACGGATTACCTCAATATGTTAATCAGTTTGATGGTCAATATGCAAATTTGAGACCTGAAATTCCAGCTAAGAAATTCTTTAAAGTTGCTTTATTCGATCCAGTGTTCAATGAACAGAAAGAAGCAATGAAAACAGAATTTAAACCAATTCAAGTGGCAAGAATTTCTTCATCTTCACTTTCAGAAGCGTTCAAGGAATTGATAAAGAAACCACTTTATTCTCAACAAGGTTATAACTTTGATTTAATTAAAGAAAGTGATAGACGTAAATTAGAAAAATCAGATGGTTTTAAGAATGCATGTAATGAAATGATTAAAGATATTGTAAATGATAAAATAAGACTGGAAGAAACTCAAATCATTATCAATAACATAATTGGTGCAGTTACAAAGAAAGTATAAGCAAACAAGGATGAACCTTGGGATATTACCGTAACAACTAAATAAAACTTTAAATATATTTTTCTTTTTTTTATTCAATTATAAATGAGAAGACGTTTCACAAGTCAAAAGAACACAAACGCAAAAGCAGAGATTACGGTTGGTTATAACGTAAATGATGATAAATCACGAATTATTCAAAATGTTAAAGTTAATGTTAGCCCTGAATTAACAAGGTCAGCAACTCAACCAAATTTATTAACTCGTGACTTACCAAAGAAAGAGGAGGAGCAAAATAAAGAAGATGAACCCGGTAAAGAACCCGTTGAAATCCCCACATATCCAACATACCCCCCACCTCTTTCATCAAACATCGAGAACCCAGGAATCTACGATTCCAGTCGCAATGCGCCATATAAAGTAGACATTAATTCTGAATTAATGAAAATTTACCGTGATATAATAATTAATAATTATGATTCAATAATAAATTTAATTGACCAATCCGGTTTAATTATTTTACCTTATGAATCATTAATTCACATTATCGCCATTCTTTGTGATGTTCAAGATTCAGATGTTAAGATTCAATTTTTCATAGATGATGAGGTTTCATGCTGCGGAACAGTTGCAAAAATAAATCCTATAAAGGATATTAGCACGATTAAGATATCAAAGAACGGAACAACAACCGAACTTCATTTAACATATAATGATATTTATAATAAAATAGTTGATGAATATAAAATATCACTTGAAAAATTCTTTGTTAAGGCTATTTAATATTCAAGCATTAACATTATCGAATAATAATCCTTTGAATCATAATCAATAATAATTGACCTTTCACCAGTTTCTATCGTTTGTTTTATTTCTTTTTGTTCCCCACTATCCGGATCAGTCATTGTAATAGTTTTTGTTATAGTATCAGCTTTATCTTTAACTTCAATCTTTTTTCCATCAGGATATTTAAACCAAAATTCCAAAAATTCGATATTGTCAATCTGTTCATATTTTAATCTATCAATTACATTTTTAATACCATCTGAAAATCTTATGAAATGGTCATTATATGGGTTTGATTGAACTAAATTTGAATGAAGTGAAATATAACCTGATGATGAATATGACATCGACTCATATTTTCTGAAAACACTAAAATTTATAACATGAATAAATTTCTTATTCGTTGAATTTATGAATTCTTGAGGTAATCTTATTCTAGTTTTATTTATCACTGGAAAATACCGCTTTACCATATTTTTAATCGTAATAAAAATGTCAATTATCAATATTATTTCGAATAATAACTGTGAATTAAATTTAACAGTTAGCGGAATTTATAATGTTACTCTCGTTTCTGTGAGTGGTAAATTTAATCCCATTCTTTTAGACCCTTCAGATTATATATCATTTATTAAAGATGACCATGAAAAAACGTATGATATGTATATAAATAATGTGATAACGAAATGGGATATTAACACGATTTTAAGTTATTTAAATGAATCATTTATCGTATGGTATGAAGAAAATTTTAAATCAAAACCTGATAAACTTTTTGAACTTGATGAAATAAATAACCTTATTAAATTCCCGCTGAAAATTAAATTTTGTACTCCTCATTTTCGTTCATTGTTGGGGATATTAAATTTTGAAAAAGATGTTGGGGATGTTTTGTATTCTGACACTGGTTCCAATTTCATTTTAATCAAATGTGATAAAGTTAATACCCCGATGAGATTTTCACATCAAACATTAGACCCTAACTCTTACCCATCAATACAAAACATTTTATCCATCAACTTAAACACATTTTCTTTATCATATCCGTTTCAATTATCTGGGAATTCATTTATTCTTCATTCAAAAGATTTATCAAATATTAAATTTAGAATAACTGACCTATTTGATTGCGATTTAGAATTTATGAATGAAATATTATGGCAATTTCAAATAGAAAAAATAGCTGATGAGATAACGGATTAAATATTTATTTTTAAATCATAATAAATGATTAAACAACAGCAACCACAACAACTTAAGGCCCTTCAAACCATTACATACGCCATATATGCATATAATTCAAAGACGGCAGAACAAACGCAAAGGTTGAAATATGGAGATTTGGAGATAGTATTGAAAAATGACCATTTCGAATTCGTTTGCAAAGGTGGTGCAGTGATATCAAATATAAAAGAAATTTTATTTATGAATTCTAAAATTAAAGGTATAACGGATGATATAACATCAATTCCACCAGAAGAACAAAGATATTATGCATTAAATGCATTTCCCAAAGTTTTGAAGATTGGAAGATTTAATTTAAATGAGGAATTCATAAAAGGTTTCCTAAATGACATAATGAAGAAGGCAGATAAAGAATATGTGACTAGTGAATTAATGAAGAAGGCAAATTTGGTTTATGTTGATGAAAAAGATAATGAAATTAAAGAAAGGGTTGAATGGTATCATGAATGGACATTGGAGACTTTTAAAGTTAAAGCTGATACAGGATGGGTTTCAGGATGTTTAGACCTTAAAGCAGATAAAACTTATGTTAACAATGAGTTAGAGAAGAAAGCAGATAAGGAAAAAGTTATTTCATTCATTAATACTGAGTTAGCAAAGAAAGCTGATATATCATTTGTTAATGAAGAAATAAAACAATCAGAGGTCTATTTTACTCCACCATTTTTAAATTTTATGAAATCATCAGATAAAACCTTTGATATAGATTCTTTTGAATGGATATGTTTCGATGGAGTGACCATGTATTTATTTTATACAGATGGAGTGCTTTATTATTTTAAAACAAATGATTTTAAAAACTATGAATCATTTACTCCATCTGTTTGGAATCCTGATACACGAAAGCCAATCATTAATCCAATAATTTTATATGTTGAATATAATAACGGTAAATTTATGGGAATGATAACAGTTGGAGATGATTTTTGCCCTTGTTATTCATTCGATTGTATCCAATGGTTCAAATGTAATTTAAATCAAGATGCTAAATTTAAATATCCAAATAATCCTATTAGATGTGTTAATAATAAATGGGTACTAATTTATGAAGTCAATCAAATTTTCATTAGTGAGGATGGGATAAATTATTATATGTTTAGTATGATGTCATCAGATTTGAAAATTGATTATACAAGTAAGTGGTATTACATTAACAGCATGTATTTTATCCTACAAAATGATAAAATTTATAGATCATCTTCAATACCACAAGGTCAATTTGAACAAATTTTTCAAGCTGATGGAGACATTGAAGCTTTATGTTATGGATCAAATGTTTATGTTCTCGTTTCAGGTGGTATGGTCTATTCATATCCTGTAAGTTATAACAGACATATTTATTTATCACAAGATTTATCAAATTGGGAATTGGTTTATTCATTCACTCCAAAACTTACTCGAAATTATAGATTTACTAATTTATTTTATATTGATGGGTATTTCATTGCTTTAGGATGTGGTGATTTAGTAAATAACAGTAATGATGGAAGAAATTGGTCTGAAATCACAAAATTTCAAGATGTTAGAAAAGCAATTTTCAAAAATAATACGTTAATATTGATAACAAGACCAGTTTTAAATACTCACCCAGTTTCAATATTATATAATAAATTCAATATTCATAATGGATTAAATACAATTCTTGAGATGATTTACCCCATTGGTTCTATTTATACGTCAATGAATTCAACAAATCCCGCAACAGTTCTGGGTTTTGGTACGTGGGAACAGATTGTAGATAAATTCCTCTATTGTGCGAACTCTTCGAAGCAAACAGGTGGTTCGAAGAAAATTAAAGAAGCAAACCTTCCACCGCACACTCATACAGGAACTACAAACTTTTCTGGCGACCATAGCCACTCATTAAGAGACCACCCATTATACAACTCAGAATATTATGCTGGCAATGACGTTTTATCTCCAGATTATAACCATTCGGCAAAAAAGACTTTTCGACCAACTGAACCAGGAGGAAATCATGTCCATACTTTCACAACAAATCCAACAGGCTTGGGTAAAGATTACCTGCCACCATTTATGACTGTATTCGCATGGTATAGAGTTCAATGAACGCTCGTCGACATAAGATTTTATAAATTGCACATTTGACGTAAATTCATTTCCCCAGTTATTCAATAATTAATTATTTTTGAATAACTGATGGGGTCACCAGGTCACCAGGTCACCAGGTAATTTAACTTCTCTGAAAAAATGAGACAACATGACATTTTGACAACAGCGTCGGAAATATGATGCAGTCCAAAAATAAAGTTAGTTTTAAAATTATTTTTATTTATTTTTTTATTTTGTATGTAAGAACAGAAATGTCAGTCGAAGCAAAAACATTCACGAACAAATCTAATGGCGAAACATTCACAAAAGGCACTTATAATGGTATTGAAGTCTTACGTAGAGACAAGGATGGTTACATTAATGCAACAAAGATGGCAAGAGAAGCGGGAAGGTTAAACCATTTAAACAGATTTCTCAATAGTGCTAAAATGCAGGAAATTCTTGAGTTTTGGATGAACGAATACGGTGGAGCCACTTTTGGCTCGACCTCAAAACAAGCATTTTATGAGCTTACTAAGGGTGTTATAAATGAATTCAAAGGTATTTACATACATCCCGACCTCATTCATTTTGTTGCTGAATGGTGCTCTGTAAAGTATGCATTTTATGTCAAAGATATTATGGACTCCATAGACAAGAAAGTTCATGAGAAATTAGATGAAGAAGAACTCGAAGATACAGTAGAGAATGCTAAACATTTGTTTGAAGAAGAAGTTGGAAAAATGTGCGGAAAACAATTAGAACATGAACGTGAGAAATGTTATGGTTATAGAGATTCTCCATACGAACTAGACCAATGGGAACAAGAAGATTTAAAGAGAGAATTTAGAGAATATGAACTCGCTAAGATAGCATTAGAAACTGTAGAAAAGAAGTTAAAAGTTTGGGGTCGTTTTGTACAAAAATATTGTGAGTAAATGAACCATTTATTTTTATCGTTAATGTTTACGTTAATGTTTTTAGGTTATTCAATAATTAATTATTTTTGAATAACTGATGAGGTCACCGGGTCACCAGGTCACCAGGTAATTTAACTTCTCTGAAAAAATGAGACAACATGACATTTTGACAACATAGTGGGATTAATGAGGAAGGTATTTATTAATTATTTTTGAATAACTGATGAGGTCACCAGGTCACCAGGTCATTTAACTTCTCTGAAAAAATGAGACAACATGACATTTAGACAACATCACAGGAGGAAGGCGGTTATGACTTATTTTTGAAGAACTGAAGGGGTCACCAGGTCACCAGGTCATTTAACTTCTCTGAAAAAATGAGACAACATGACATTTAGACAACATCATTGGAAATTTGATGCAGTCCAAAAATAAAGTTAGTTTTAAAATTATTTTTATTTTTTTATTCCTATATAAATGACAGCAACAAACAACAGCAACAGCAACTTTATCATTTCTGATGAACAAGTTATTGATTCATTAGCTGAGGAATTAGTTGTGGCAGAAACTAAAACCCTCAACGAAAGAATTGGTGAAAACAAGATTGATTTACATAACTACCTCAAACATGATGGAGGAAGAGGAAGGAAAACTGGTACAGCTTTATTAGTAAATAAAATTTCGAATTTAACGATTATAGATGTTGATATCAATAAATCATACAATGATGAACTTAAAGAAACAGTTAGAAAAGACATTTTATCAAAACTTTCGGATAAAGATGTTATCGTTAAAACCGCTTCAGGAGGTCTTCACATTTATTGCAACACTAATTTCTTCTATGCAGTTTCGAACAGAATGATTAAATGTTATTCCTGCAATGATTACGATATTGATATCATGACTTCTATGGATGATTCAAAGCGTTCTTTAGTGGTTATGGCTGATTCAAGAGTTCGCAAGAATGCAACAGAACCAATCAATACATACTCATTCATTCGTGGAAGTTACAATTCAACATTAACCAGAACAGTGAATGATATATTAAATGATTTGAATATTAAGGTAAGAGTTGAACAAAAGAATGAAGAAATAAAGACTATCATGAATGAAAACAAAGATGTAAACATTGACGATAAACTAGCTCAAAGCATAGTTGATGGCATGTGTGATTTTGAAGTACATAATGACGGTGGAAACATGAATTTAGAAAAAGAAATAACATTATTCACACTGTTTCAAGCAATTAATTCGTTACCTAATCATTTGATTAATGAAGCATACGATAACGTTTATAACTTCTGCAGTTTAACAGAAAATGCAAAAAGTAATTTTGAAAAAGCACGTAGTAGATATGCACATTTAATGACTTCTCCATTTGTTTTGGTGAAGATTCTAAAACTATATCAAAAGGAATATTATGATGAATATGTTTTGCCTTTATTACGTAAGCCAAAAATAACATTTGATATCAAACTTGATGACTCGTTTTTGATAACAGATATTAGACGCAAGGCTGAAAATCATCAATATAAAAACAGTTCTGAAGTAATTGAGGATTTATCACGTGTAATCCGTTTTGTAGATTGTGGAAATAAATACTTCATTCAAAAAGATTACAATATCCACAATAAAATGAATCAAATATCATTCGTTCTTCAATCAAACATGAAAGAGTCACTTAAAATGATTAAATTATTTAAAGAAGAAGGTAAAACAATAACAGCATGGGATGTACTACTAAATCAATTATCCTCATTAACCGTTAAGGGTGTTTGCTTTAAATCTGATTCCCCGGATGTTTTCTCAACGTTTCAAGGTTATAAATACAACATTCTCGAAAAACCAGATTACTCAAAAATTGAAATGTTTATGAATTTCATTAAAGAAGCCATTTGTGATAATAACGATGAAGTGTATAAATACCTTCTCGGCTGGATTGCATCAATGATTCAACATCCTGGAATCAAGAATGAAACAGCAATTATTTTGAAAGGACTTCAGGGAACAGGTAAAAACAGATTTACAGATATTATTTCTGAACTTCTCGCCGGTTATTCATGCAAAAACATTACCGAAATAAGTGAGCTAACGGGTAATTTCAATTCAGTAGTTGAGAATAAAATGTTTCTTGTACTTAATGAACTCAAGAATGTAGGTGAAGACAGACTCGCAAACTTCAACGCTTTGAAATCAATTATAACGGATAATGAGATAAGAATTAATGAAAAGAATCAACCCAGAAGAACAGCTCAGAATGTTGCAAACTTCATTTTCGTAACTAATAACGTTTACCCTGTCAAAATTGAAGTTGGAGACCGAAGATATGTAGTTTTAAGAGTTAATGGTAAATTTAAGGGTCAATTTGATTACTTCAAGAATTTAATGGATTCATGCACAAAGGAATTTTATGATAATTTACTGACGTATTTTATGCAATATGACATTTCATCATTTAATGTACGAATCATACCGATGACTGAAGCCAAACAAGATTTAATTGAATTATCATCAAATCCTTTAGATGTATGGATAAATACACATTATGATGAATTGTGTGCAGGTATGACGTGTAAAAATGCTCTATTCTGCAAACCATCAGACATGAAAGACAAGAATTTCCAAATGAGTATTAAGGATAAATGTGAAAGGAAACAAAGAAAAATAGATGGTAAACAGACATGGTATTATGTTTTGAAAGAAGAAATGAAAGGATTATATAAACAGGTTGAACCAAACGATAATGAGGATTCATTTAGTGACGATGAAATACCTGTAAATGAAGCTTTATAAAGTATGATTTGAATTTATTTTTGCCTTCCTCATTAATCCCACTATGTTGTCAAAATGTCATGTTGTCTCATTTTTTCATAGAAGTTAAATTACCTGGTGACCACCTGGTGACCCGGTGACCTCATCAGTTATTCAAAAATAAATAATAAGTGCCTTCCTCCTTTCATGACTGTTGTCAAAATGTCATGTTGTCTCATTTTTTCATAGAAGTTAAATTACCTGGTGACCCGGTGACCTCATCAGTTATTCAAAAATAAATAATAAGTGCCTTCCTCCTTTCATGACTGTTGTCAAAATGTCATGTTGTCTCATTTTTTCATAGAAGTTAAATTACCTGGTGACCACCTGGTGACCCGGTGACCTCATCAGTTATTCAAAAATAAATAATAAGTGCCTTCCTCTTTCATGACTGTTGTCAAAATGTCATGTTGTCTCATTTTTTCATAGAAGTTAAATTACCTGGTGACCACCTGGTGACCCGGTGACCTCATCAGTTATTCAAAAATAAATAATAAGTGCCTTCCTCCTTTCATGACTGTTGTCAAAATGTCATGTTGTCTCATTTTTTCATAGAAGTTAAATTACCTGGTGACCACCTGGTGACCCGGTGACCATCAGTTATTCAAAAATAAAATAATAAGTGCCTTCCTCCTTTCATGACTGTTGTCAAAATGTCATGTTGTCTCATTTTTTCATAGAAGTTAAATTACCTGGTGACCACCTGGTGACCCGGTGACCTCATCAGTTATTCAAAAATAAATAATAAGTGCCTTCCTCCTTTCATGACTGTTGTCAAAATGTCATGTTGTCTCATTTTTTCATAGAAGTTAAATTACCTGGTGACCACCTGGTGACCCGGTGACCTCATCAGTTATTCAAAAATAAATAATAAGTGCCTTCCTCCTTTCATGACTGTTGTCAAAATGTCATGTTGTCTCATTTTTTCATAGAAGTTAAATTACCTGGTGACCACCTGGTGACCCGGTGACCTCATCAGTTATTCAAAAATAAATAATTATTGAATAACCCGAAACCATTAACGATAAAATAAGTGATAACAAATTTTTATTTTTATCATAAATGGATACCCCACAAGCTCAAAATTTACCACGAATCATAACAAGGGAGGAAATGATAAAAATGATGCGAGAACATGCTAAAAATAACAAACCACTAAAAGTGAGAAAATGTGGTTATGCAGTAATGATGGAAAGAGAGACGTTGTCGAAGAGGAATAAAAATTAAATTTGGATTGAGTTTAAAAATTCATCTTTATTAAATTCATCTCTTCCAATCAATTTATTT